GTTTGCAAGACCCCAGGCCCTTGGTTATCTGTCATAAAGCTATCTGTCATGAGGAATAGTTCTGTTTGGCCAACAGGCCGGGCCCGGGCCTATTGACCTCTGGCGCCAAGGAGAGCACACCGAGTTTCGCTGACTCTGGGCTTAAGCCAATTTTTGCCCAGGGACGGTCCCTACATCTACTATATTTATAAAACTTAGAAACGATGTTACATTGTTCAAATAGCAAGTCTTCCTAGAATTCTATGTTTGTTTTCTTGGTAGGATTTTCTGAGTTTATTTATCTAATTTATTTATTTATTTTTGAGACACAGTCTCCCTCTGTTGCCCGGGCTAGAGTGCCGTGGCATCATCCTAGCTCGCAGCAACCTCGAAGTCTTGGGCTCAAGCGATCCTCCTGTCTCAGCCTCCTGAGTAGCTGGGACTACAGGCATGTACCACCATGTTGGCTAATTTTTTCTTCCTTTCTTTTTTAACCTTAAAATCCTACAACCATTTTTTATCATACAGGTGAACCCCGATCCTCATGATGGGCTTATTGGTAAGATTTCTGGTAGCGAGCACGGGCACCAGGGCCTCCAAACTTTTTGCATTCACAGCGACAAGGGTCAGCTACCAGCAGGGTCTGGTCCTACGGGATGAGGATGTCCTTGATCTCCTTCTTGGAAGCCTCATCCACATATTTCTGGCAATAGACCACCAGGGCTCTGGAGGTGGACTGACAGCACAAATATGGGCCACATGACCACCATCCTTCACACGGACACGGATGTCCACACCGTGGACCAAGGAGCGAACTGCTCCTTGCCCAGAAGCAGACCAGGTTCTGGTAGCTTGTATTGCAGCGTGGGGGAGCTCAATCATCTCCAGGGGCCGCCTGTTCACCTTGATGAGGCCACTGCCACGTTTGCAGTGTGCAATGGCTGTGACCAAACATTTTCTTGCGTCGAGAGTCGAAAGACCTGCAGGTACTGCAATAGGCCCTTGGACCGCATAGTTACAGGCATAGTTCCTCACCGCATGGCTCCACAACCAGAAAAGGAAAGCTCAGAGCTCTAATTTTTTCTATTTTTAGTAGAGACGGGGGTCTCGAATCTTGCTCAGGCTGCTTTCGAACTCCTGAGCTCAAGCGATCCTCCTGCTTCAGCCTACCCAGAGTGCTAGGATTACAGGCCTGAGCCACAGCGCCCGACCCAAAACTGTATCTTGATTCCTGGTCTGTGCGGTATATCTCATTCACAGGGCGTGGGGAGTGGGCTTTGTGGCCAGCGAGTGCACTGGAGCAGGCTTCCGGGAGGTGAAGGAAGAGGCGAGTGGCAGCGGACAGATGAGACACGTTCGTCATCGTCGGGGGGGAGGCAGCCGCAGCGAGAGCATGGCTGAGAACATGGCAAGCACTTATATGTGGCTCAGAACGACAGTGGCAACATGTCATGTGAAAGCATGAGCACGTGGGTTCGCACAGGAGCTAATACCTTGGTTACATAACTGTGCTAACTCACACCTCCCCGAAGGTTAGCTGAAGACACGCTGGAAATTAGTTTGGCCTAAGAAAACCTATTGCCTATACAAATGAATTTCCCTTACACAGAGTGTAAAAACAGTTAACAGAAAATAATTTAAAATGATAACTGGAATCTAAATAAATTGCTAAGATAAATAAATAAATTAGGTAAGTTAGGCAAATATAAACGAGATACTTACGCATTAAAATTTCACAGGCCGGGTGCGGTGGTTCACGCCTATAATCCCAGCACTTTCTGTGGCTGAGGTGGTAGGATCACTTGAGTTCAGGGGTTCAAGACCAGCCTGAGCAAGAGCAAGACCGTGTCTCTACTAAAAATAGAAAAATTAGCCAGGCATTGTGGCATATGCCTTGTAGTCCCAGCTACTTGGGAGGCTAAGGCAGGAGGATCCCTTGAGCCCAGGAGTTTGAAGTTGTTGTGAGCGATCATCATGCCACTGTGCTCTAGCCCGGGGAGACGGAGCAAGACTCTGTCTCAAAAAAAAAAAAAATTCATATAATTTAGAATCTTAAAGTTTTGTTATAATAAATAAGAGACACTCATTAAATTGTAACAGAGGGAATAGCCTCGAAAGGGGTAAATTGTTTTCAAAGTTGTCTCTTTAAAACCTCCCCCACTCTTCTTGGGAATCGAAACCCGTGTCCCTGCCCAGGGCCAGTAATCAGAGGGCAGAGGAGTGTCCCTTAAGTATGTTGCAGATGGTCTGTGCAAGTCAGGATAAGGTTCATAGAAGGGAATTTATGAAGGAATTTTGTGTGTGATCCAGTTGGCTATAATTAAAAAGGAAAATTTGGGGGTAACACAACAAAGTTTTCTTAAAATATTAATTTTCTCTTAATGAAATTACATGATATATTAATTTTAATTCTATAACCTGTTTCCTTTTTTAATTAAAAAAACCTGAGACTTATACCTTAAAAGCTCAACTTCTTTTACGTTTTACTGATTTCAGCCTTTATCCCTTTAAAAAAGCTGGGATGGTAACTCTCACCTTCAACTTTTCATCAGCTCCTGTAATTTTTTTTCCCCTTCTTGTTCTATGTCTTTTGTTATGGCCTGACATTAGAATGTTTTACCTTAAAGGTTTTTAAAGAACAATATTTTCCTCCAATATAACTTAATACTCTACTCTTGGCCTTTCTTGATATGTCTAAATTATTTTATATGGTCAGAAAACTTCTCATGCTGCGCTACGAGTCCTTTGTTCCCCTATTCAAGGTACTTCTTATTTAAAACATTACTGATTCTCTTGCTTTGTTTTTCCAGAGTCATGACAAGTATTAAGTAAATAACAAGTTTATCTGATATCCCCAGGATTTAAAACTATTAAATCCCGCTGGGCCCAACCTTTTATTAATATTTACTGCCAACACCCTGCTACTGAAACTGTAAGCGTCCTCCCTCTAGGCCCAGGGACCATCACAGACAAGGTGATTGTGTGAGATTGTAAGGGCCGATTTAGAGGGATGGAATTAGACCCTCCAGATCAAGGTTGGGCACACAGAAGCCTAAACAAATACTGAGAGTCTCACACTCTACTAACTGAGCTAGCCGGGTGCTCCCCTGAACAAATACTCAAAGAGAGACTTTGCCTTTTTGGGCCATGGGGTTCAAACATCCATCCCAACCAAAAAGAATTTCCTGCTTCCCATAGACTTAGAGCTTACTGGGTACAGTTGTTCCCAGTTATGGGGTTTATACAAATAGATGTTTAATAAGCAATTTATTGGGCCACTTTAGGACAAATTACGAAAGTAAAAATATTGCTGTACAACAATAGTCTCTAAATTCCTTAGTTTAAAATGGTTAACAATGCTTATATTTTATTTAATAAATTGCTACAAGTCTGCAACTAAATCCAAGAATATAGCAGCTCAACACTTTTTTTTTTTTTTTTTTTTTGAGACAGAGTCTCACTCTTTTTGGCTGGGCTAGAGTGAGTGCCATGGCGTCAGCCTAGCTCACAGCAACCTCACACTCCTGGGCTCAAGCAATCCTTCTGCCTCAGCCTCCCGAGTAGCTGGGACTACAGGCATGCGCCACCATGCCCGGCTAATTTTTTCTGTATATTTTTAGTTGGCCGATTAATTTATTTTCTATTTTTAGTAGAGACGGGGTCTCGCTCTTGCTCCACCCGCCTTGGCCTCCCAGAGTGCTAGGATTACAGGCGTGAGCCACCGCGCCCGGCAGCAGCTCAACACTTAATAGATAAATTAATTCTGTAGCCTTGCCTTTGACATTTTGGTTTTTACCCTTATGTTACCTAGAAGCTTTTGGGTTGCTGAGTGCCCGCCCACCTCCAGTCCTGGTGGCCTACAACACTTAATTGGCTGTAAGCCCTTTTTGGCTCCTAAATTCTCTTCACCCCAAGGGTCCCACTGGGGACCTGAATGGACCCAGGGCAGGTAGCGACACTGCCCTGGCAACAATGGGACAAAATAAAAGTCTGGCCATCGATCCTGCCTCTGGAAGATCTTGGCCAAAAGGTGGGAATTATAAACTAAAGATCTTATTTAATCTTGAGTCCCTCTGCTGACTGAATGGAGGCGCACGGTGGTGTGTACCCGTAGCCCCAGCTACTCAGGGGGCTTGAGGTGGGAGGATCACTTGAGCCCAGGAGTTCAAGTCTGTAGCAAGCTATGATTATACTACTGCACTCCAGCCTAGGCAACAGAGCAAGACCCTGTTTCTAAAAATAATAACATTTTTAAAAATCATAAATAAAAATTCTGGTATCTCCATACTTTAAAATACACTGAACGCAGGAAAACCAGCATTGCAATCACTTCATCCATCTGCGCTGGGATTTCTCAGAGTACCGTCAGGTCCTGGGGGCTTAGGCAGCGGCAGGGTGTGAGGTGTCTCTTGTCAATCCCTGTCCACACAGGCTGCTGACTGAGATGGCCGTGGCCCAGTCTCCACGGCCCTTTGGTGTCAGGCTGCTGCTTCCATGCCGTGTGCGCTCTGGCTGTCTTTGCTGCCACAGGCCGAGGCCTGCTGTTGAGTCCCGCAGTCAAAGTGAGCCTTCCCGCACCCCAGGGTGCTGCCCGCACCTGAGCGCCTCTCTCCATCCCTTGCAGGGTAATACCTTCCTCACTAGGGGCATCACCCTGAGATGCGGCCTCTCAAATCCTTTTTTTCCTCACTTTCTTTCATGATGAGGCCCACTAAATCCAAAGCCTGAATTCCTAGCTGCTCCAAAGACCCAGATCCCCTTTCCTTCAGGGCAGGAACGGCTTTATCGCCAAACCCTCCCAGGAGGCGAGTACGAAATACTTGGACTCCACGCTACCGGTGCTGCAAGGAAGGAGAGGCTGCAACACATCTCCTCCCAAAGCAACACAAATGTTAACCGCACGCCACGCACACGTGAGCCACGAGCGCTTATCTTGGGTTGGCTCTAAATGAATCGATGAAGTTCTCACAAGTTACTGCTGAGGTAAGTTCTGTAGTATGTTTATTTTTCAATCAGCACACTAAGGCACAGAGAGGTTAGGTCCCTTGTCCAACGTCCCTCAGCTACAAAGTAGATAAGCCTGGATTCAAACTGCGTGTGGGATCCTGAGTCCATGCACTGCCTTGACACGTGCTACTGCTGCTTTGAGAGCTCTGACGATGAGGGAGGGATGTGCGCAGGGCTAGGGGCCGTTCTGTGGGGCCTGTGCAAGGTCAGCGGCGATGCCCACCCACTCTGGCAGGAAGGCCGCTTGTGGCCTGAAGACCATGTGGAAGGGGGAGCCGGGCAGGGTGAAGTTGGCCAGGTAGACAGTGTTCCCGCCCGCCAGGTAGGCAGCCCAGATCCCAAAAGTGCCCACAGTGATGATGCTGTGGTTACACTGCGTGAGCAGTGCAAAGTCCTTGGCCGGCGAGCCTTGAATGCCATTGCCTGCAAACGTCACATCCCCGAGGGAGCTACTGATGCTCTCCCGGCACCAGGCCATGTCATCGCTGGTGACCACGAAGACTGGGGTGTGGTAGCGGGCCCGGAACCAGTCCATGGCCTGCCGCAGGTAGCCCCGGTCAGCTAGCACGCCCTTCCACACCTTCGGCATGACTCGGACATAGTCCCCCCGGCGCACGTGGACCCCCACGAAAGTCACCTGCCAAGCCCACTTGGCCTGCAGGGCCTGGAGGAACGTCTGGGCCTCCTCGCGCACGTGGTCGTGCAGGGTGAACTCCTGCAGGATCTCGTGGCGCAGGTGGTGGTAGAAGGTCCAGGAGCAGGGGTAGCCCGTGAGGCGCACGTACTTGCCCGGGATGTGGCGGTACTCCTCTTCCATCCAGTCGTTCAGGTGGTAGTTCTGCCAGGAGATCCGGCTCGCCGTGGCGCTGTGCAGCACCGGGAGGCTGATTCTGAAGATGGGGGCCAGGGTGCTGTGCATCTGGGGCGGGATGAAGGCGGGCCGCCCGTTCATCTTGGCCAGGGCGTACAGCGTGGCGTACTCGCCCATCTGGTTCCCCAGGCGGCCTTTGGAGTTGATGGTGAACAGCCCCTCCCGGGCAAGATGTGTGGGGACCAGGACCACGTGGGCTGAGTATGCCCAGGGGGAGGGCACTAGAGCCAGGCGCTGGTGGCAGTGGAAGATGACAGACACCACGAAGATGACGAAGAGCAAGTAGATGGTGGAGGAGGAAGGGCGGGTGACCCAGAATCCCTTGATGGCTGCATGGAGGGAAGAAAGGACATAGTCAGGAGGGATGGCTGGGGGGATATGAGCCTCTTCACTCACGGCCTCCCAAATTCATTCATTCACTCACTCATTCAATCCATCCAAACCTGCCTTGTGAGTACCACAGTGGCAATGCAAGAACGCAGATGCTGGGATCTTTCCACCTGGGTCTGAGTCCCAGCTCCACCCCTTGCTAATGCTGTGTGACTTTAGTAAAGCTACTAAACCTCTCTGAATATTAGTTTCCTCACCCTTTAAGCAGGGATGGTTAGGTGGAACAATTCGAAGGTGTCAATATTCAACCAAATTTTACTACATTTGCAGCCATTTCTGTGCTTCAACCTAACAGAACTACCTCATGAGGCTGCATGAATTAAATGTGATAATTTTGTAATGTTCTTTGAACAGTGCCTAGCACACAGGAAATGCTCTGTGTCGTAAACCAAAGACTTCCAGAGCATCTCCCATATGCCAGGCACACACCAGAGGCAGGAAGCGAGCAGAGAACAAAAGAGACAAGAATCCTTGCTCCGCATCAAGGCGGGCGCCACGTGGAGGTTACAAGCACAGACCAGGAGGCCAGATCCAGAGGCCGGATCTGTTGGCTGGGCAACCTTGGGGATGTTATTTAACTTCTTGTCACCTCCTCTGAAAAATGGGGTTGTTACAGCACCCGCGCTGATAAGTGCTGAGCACTTCCTGTTGCTATTAGTGGGAGAGGCGGACTCAAGCTGGCCACAGACTCTTGAACTCTCTTTCCCCTGAATCTGGGCAGGCCTGTGACTGCCTTGAACAATTAAATATGTCGAAAGTGACACTCTGCCTGTTTCTGACCCAGGACTTAAGGGACCAGCACTTCCCACTTCATGCCTGGGGACGTTCTCTCTTCACTAACACATCAAGCTGTATAGTTTTAGCTTTTGTATGTAGGTCTGTGATGAGCCCGGTTTTTGGGGTTAACCAATTTATTGAGATATAATTCATAAACCACACTATTCACCACTTAAACTATGCTACTGGATGGCTTTTCATGTGCTCACAGAGCTGTGCAACCGTCACCATCAATTTTTGAACTTTTGCATCACCCCGAAAAGAAACCCTGTACCCTTTAGCCATCTTTCCCCCAATCTTCCCAGCTTGCCTCCCCACTCCAGCTATCTGTTTTCTGTCTCCACGGATTTACCCATTCTGGATTTTCCTGTAAATGGAATCACACAATATGTAGCCTTTTGGGTCTGGCTTCTTTCCCTCAGTCTGATGTTTTCGAGGTCCGCCCATACTGTAGCAGGGATCAGAGCTTCATTCCTTTTTTATGGCTGCATACATTTCACTATCTAGGTAGACCACATTCTGTTTCTCACCAGCCGATGGACATTTGGGCAATTTCCGTCCGTTACCTATCGTGAATCGTGCTGCCATGGATATGCATGTACACCTTTCTGTGTGGACACGTGCTTTCATTCTCTCGGGCATCCCCGTGGGAGCAGAGTTGCTGGCCACAGGGTACCTCTGCATTTCATCGTGTCGGGACCTGCCAGGCTTTTGCAAAGCAGCTGCCCCACTTTCCATTCCCAGCAAGCAGCAGTGCACGAGGGTCCCCATTCCTCGACATCCCGGACACTGCTTGCCATCACCTGTCCTTCTGATTATGGCCGTCGTGCAGAGGTGACTGACCGTGGAGCCACACTGTTAACTCTAGTTCCAGCCCTGACTCTGCTGGGCTTACCTGGGCTCCGCGACCCTCGGCTCACCCCCTACCCCCGCATCCCTCGTCCTCATAATGGGACAGATAGCCCTTCTTTGGGAGCTGCTTCCTTTTGAGTCAGCCTCTCCCCCAGCACTTACCCGAGCTCCCAGAAAGTTTTTGCTCCCCAGTGTCCACCGTGTCCTGATCTGCTTTTCTCTTCTCGCCTGCTCCACTCCTCTGACCAATGTCCTGCGGTTTCCCTGTGGCCACTCCAATGGCCTCAATTCACCGGAGTCCTCACTGAAGTACTGGACTGCATGTACCCATACCCCAACTTTCCAGCTTCTGCCTCACCCTCTCCCATCCCTCCCTCTGCCTGCCGGGGCTCTGCAGGCCACCTCAGCTCTGGCTCTCGTCCTCCTCTATTCCAGGGCTCCTCACTTGATTAATCTGACCCTTTGGGGAAATCTGAACCCTCTGGGGCCCTCCTGGAATGGTTTCTCCTGGGTCCCCAGCGAGGTCCACTGGCTCTTACCACGTGAGGACAAACTATGAAATTGCGCTCCCCCGACTGAGGCCTAGGAGAAATGTCTCCTTCACTGCCTTAATTTCCAAAAAGCAAATTAAATCTACTCAAACCCCTCTTTTCACTTAGCTGATGAAAATTCTGTCCCAATCATTCTCACACTACCCACCCAGCTCAGAGTCCTGCCAGGTGGAGAAGCCTCGCTCCCCAGCACAGCCAGAGTCCCTGGCAGGTCCCAAGGCCAGGAAGGGTGAGGAGGGCAGGGACCAGGGAAGGGAGCCTGGGCCACTGGGGGGAAGCCGGCTCAGAACAAAGGCGCCTGCCACTCGGGGGCAGTCGCGTGGAGCCCCAAGCTCAGACAGGCCTATTGCTCTATTGTCACCACTTTAAAATTCTTCATAAATTCTGAACACGGGGCCCCGTGTTTGTATTTTGTTCTGGGCCTTGCAAATCAATGCAGCCATCCGGCGGCCACCTTCTTCCACTTCCTGGAGTCTCAGGAGCTCCCTCTCGTGGCTGTCCATCAGCCTGGACAACCGGAAAGCCGCGGAAAATAATGGCTGGAGGCTGACGTGTCTATGGTGCCCCTGCATGCCAGGCCACGATTCCCCACTGGCCATTTTCCTGTAGGTGGGTGGCAAACCCCAACCTGAACTGAACTCATCTGGGGACAACATCTGGCCTGAAGGGTCAAGTGGCTAACTGTAGACTTTATTTCTCTTAGCATGAACACCCATGTGCTTTGCTGCCGAAACAATTCCATGTTTGATAAGGGCATGTGGCACAGACCCCCGCCAGGGGTACCACATGGTACAGGTCTACGCATCCGGCAATGGTGCCAAAGCGCAGAAAGTTCCAAAACACGCTGGCCCAGAGTGTCAGGGGCTGTGGGCACGGTTTAGCTCATTTAGTCCTCATGACCCCACCCCCAATGAGGAAAGTACATTTTTTTAATCCCTATTTAACAGATGAGGAAACTAAGGCACAGAGAGGTTAAGAAACTTGTTTTAAGTCACACAGCTAGGAAAGAAGAGGGGCCTGGATTTGAACCCAGGGAGCATGGCTGGGGAGTCTGGACTGTCAATTACTGTCCTGGCCTTTCGAGTATGTCCCACGGAAGAGCAGTCCCCTACCAGTCCTCACTCTCTGCCCAGTTACACATGCAATCTGACCTGCCCTGCCTCATGGGGCCTCCATTATTTCTGGGCCACTGAGGCAGGGATAAAAGGGCTGTGGAAGCCCAGAGCTGGGGGCTGCACAGTACCATGCTGAGCCCACCTCCGGGCTGTGCCCCAACAGGCCCCGCCTTCCCTGTTCTTCCAGAACTTGAGGAACCTCCCCCTACTCTCAAAAAAAAAAAAAAGTTTCCTCCTCAACTTGGGGACTTGTTTCTGCTCCTGCTGCCCTATCCCCTCCCCCCACCCTCCAAGGCACCCTCAGGGGTGCTAATCCTCAGGCCGCTCAAGCAATTAAGACCTGAAGTGAGGAAGAAAGCAGCCCTCCAGGGAACAAGAGTTTAAGAGATTTCTTGTCCCTGGGTGGGAGGAAAATACAGGGAGACCTAAAATTTCTTCCTGAATTTTCTCTGGCAGCAAAACTAGCCTCCCGTGTGGCGGCCCTGGCCTCCTTCAGGTCTCAGCCCAAATGTTCTCTTCACCCCACTTAAATCTGCAGCACCCCTGGCCCCCACTTCCCTACGTGCTTTTGCTCCAAAGCACTTGACACCTTCTCACATTCTAGAGAACGGGATTCTTTGCTGCTGTTCTGTGTCTCTGTCCCTCCAGCAGGTGAGCCTGCCGCGGCGGGGGTTTGTGTCCTGCAGTGTCCACGCGCGGGGGGCTCAGGCAGGACCAGCAGAATGGATTAGGGCCGTGAATCTTATCACAGCACTCTACCCCCTGGCTCACACGCGGCCTGGCCAGGATCCGACATGCCTCGCTTTGATATGGGGATGTCTCGGCCCCCTGTCCCTTCCTCTTGCAGCTAACTCCGCCTCAGCCCCACAGCTTTTGGAATCACTTCTTTCAATCCGACGTCCCTGCCCCTGCCACAGTGGGCCCCTTCGGGCTCCTCTAACATGCAGCCTAAGAGTCACCTGGAACCAGAATCTCCATGGCCCTGGCTGTGCCCCCCATCCCCCAGGGCAGGCACAGGGCAGAGGATCCCCAAACCCCTGTCGAGATTGGGCCCACACTATGCCACAGTACGTGCTGCGGCACTCAGGGCCACACAGCAGCAAAGGCCATGCCCCAGCCTCCCGAGGCCCTTGCTTTTCTCAGCAGGAAGTGACAGAAAACATTATGTTTCTAGTCAAATCCATTCAGATATGGCACAGAGTTGGCAGCAACATTTGCATGAAAATTTCCCCACGAAAGCACTGAGGCCAGGCAGGACGCTGGCGCCGGGGAAGCTGCCTTTGAGCTCTGGCCCCTCACTCCCTGGGGGGCCCACATCCCCCTGGGCCACTAGAACCCTGAGGCCTGAGGTGACCTCAGCTCCTTCGCTGCCCTCCCCACCATCTTATAAAGCAGCTGAGGTTTTTGGGTTTCCCCAAGGCTGATCTGATCCCTCCAAGAGGGCGGATTTTTAGGGCTTGAAAACGACTGACCTTATCGTCCAGTTAACCCACAGCTGACAGAAGCTTCGGGAGAGTAGAAGGAGGGGCTGGCCTGGGGTCACACAGCCAGAGGCAGGAGCCCCACCTCAGGGCAAGCGGCCCTGACCGCCACCCACAGTGTCAGCCCCTGCCTGGATCATGGCCACCACGAGGCAGCGCTGAG